CAGGAAGCCTCAGGACGCCCGACTTGGATACCATAAGAGGCTCCAGGAGGCCCCAGGATTGTGAGTGTGTGGGTGTGGTTGTGTGTGTGTGATGTGTGCTCTGTGTTGTGCGTGCTTTTTGTGCGTTGTAGGTGTTGTGTGTGTTGTTATGTTTGTCTAGCGTGTGATGTGTTGGGTGTGATTTGTGTCTCTGTGTGTGCATGTAGTTCTGAGGCCCCAGGAGGCCCCAGGCGGCCTCAGGAGGCCCCAGGAGACCCCAGGAGGCTTCAGGAGGCCCCAAGAGGCTCCAGGAGGCCGGAGGCCCCAGGAGGCCCCAGGAGGTTTCAGGAGACCCCCAGGAAGCTCCGAGGCGGGGTCTGGGGTACCAGAAGGTTCAGAAAGCCCCAGGAGGCCCCAGGAGTTTCCAGGAGGCCCCCAGGAGGCTCCGAGGCGGGGTCTGGGGTACCAGAGGGTACGTCGGGGCTCGATGTTGGGAGGATGTTTCAAGCGAAACCGCCATTCTCTGAGAATCGGGGTCAAACTTATTGAAATCATTTTGTGTTTTTGACGGTTTTATGTTAAAATGTTGAAATTCCGATGTGCTTTTGGACCCTGACGTCACGGGTGCCACCGATTTTCAGAATTTCGAGGATGTCCCTAGCGAAACGACCAGAACCATAGCGGACGCGGCGCCCCGCGTACGCATTAATCGCCTCTGAGCTCTACTCCCTCGGAGAGGTGCGTATGATAATATCATATCATATATAAATGCATCTATATATATATATATATATATATATATATTAGCACCATGTGTGTTACGATATCATATGTTTAGATACTCATTTCTCGCATGTTCATAGACCTGACGATACCCTATATAGATATGCACACATTTGACGATATACATATATATACATGTATGCATCGCGTCATTATACAGATTCTGGTAGTTTGTTATATATATACATACACACATCTATCACCATCATGAATCTGGAGAATCTTACACGTACATCGCACCAACCTAGATTTTCTGATGCATTCCATACATACACCACATCAGCACATATATCATGATGCCGTACGAACGCGTCACACCATCATATGTCTTATGATGCCCTACGACCACCACTACCACTACGACCACCACTTCCACGATTACCACCTGACACCTTTGCCACTCCAGGAGCTGGATGTTTGACATCGAGATTTGTTTGCCAGGGCTGTTTCCCCAGGTTCGAAGTTTTACATGTGATTTACAACTTTACAACTCGTGAACCCAAACTCGTCCTGGTGGCCTTCAGAGGCCCTCCCATTGCGAAGGCCTTGCGGCAGGTGCCGCCGACCCTGAGGTTGGGGAGGAGGGCGCGGAGCATGAGGTGGAAGATGAGGAGGGGGACAGGAAGAAGAGGTGGATGAGGAGGAGTAGGAGCACAGGGGGGGAATGAATAGGAGGAGAGCGAGGCGAACAGGGTCGCATGTACAGGTGGAGTGGGGGGGCAGGAAGGAAGGGCACGGGCGAGTAGAGCGTGGCGATCATGAGGAGGACAGGGAGGAAGATAATGGCGAGGATGCTGACGATGATGACGACGACGCCAGTTGCCTATCAGGACCATTCTTGGTGGCCTTCAGAGGCCCTTCTATTTCCGTTTCCGGCGAGATCCGGGAATTTTGGCGAGGAATTTCAAACAGGTGCCCTCGCGTGGGACGTCCTCAGAAAACCAGCCCCCAGAGGCTTCCCAAGGACGCCTTCAGAAACCCTCCTGCTACACGCTCGCCTGATCCTCGCCCGCGTGACACTCGCTGTCCTGATCCTCGCCCTCGCGAGGCTCGCCCTCCTGATCCTCACCCTTCTCATGCTCAGCCGCCGCACCACCGCCTCCCGTTCAATCTCCTCTCGCCCACAAGCGCACGCCTTTTCTTCTATATGCAGAAAACACCGATCAACCGCAGAGCGACCGGCTAGTATGTAGTTTCCGTGGCACTGGCACGCATCGGCCGCTTCATTGTTTCACGTCTAGACTCATTGCTCCCAGTATCGCCCCAGTCTGGGTTTCTCTCGGTTCTCCAGGGTGGCCCTGGGCTTTGCGGGCAGGCCCACAATTCCCTGAGCGTGCCATGAAACGCGTCAGGGCGCTCTGAGACCTCAAATCTCAAATCGCACAGGCGACTGCCCAAACGAACTGCTGTAACGTTGCAAGAGCCCCAACAAGACCCAGCGGACCAAACTCGACCAGATGCATCTGGCTCTTTGGTTGCATCTTTGTGCTGTCGCAATTTGATGGTCGAAGACTGTTCCGAAGAGGGTCGGACAGGCGCATGATCGTCAGAAGAAACTTCGTGGGGGCATTCCAGAGTCCTGATCGTGTTTTCAGAATAGATGAGTTTGGGATGCAACAGCGGGCAACACGCTTAAGACGTCCCTGCAATCTTGGCGCGAACGGGCCAGTGCCCCCTCCCTGGCGGTTCCCCGCTGGGGTGCCCAAGCGCCACGTCAAAGAGAGGAGCTCGAGGCGCAGAAGCAGGCAAACCGCTTGAGTTATCCCCTCAGTCTGTGCGCGAGCGGGCGAGTGTCATACCCCTCGGCGGCCCCCCTCCCCCTTCGGGGTTGTCCAGGTGTCACGCTTGTTGTGTTCTCAAGAGCGAGGCATTGGGGTGGGCAATCACAGGCAAACCTCCCCCTCCCTGGCCGCTGCTCCCAAATGCCACGTTTCTTGCGTCGCGTTGATCATGAGGCTTTCAAGCAAAGGAGTCTGAGAACGGCAGACCGAGTGAGACATCCCAGCAATCTGGACGCAAACGGGCGAGAGTCGCACCCCCTGGCGCTAATCCCTCGTCGGGTGTCCAAATGCCACGCCCGATGTGTCGCGGTGGCCACGAGGCTCTCAGATACAAGGCCCCAGTGGCAAACACAGGCAAACCGATTGAGGCATCCCCACAGTCTGGGCGCAAACGGGTGAGGGCCCGCCTGCTTGGCGGCTCCCTCTTGGGGGTGCCCAAATGCCACGTTTGCTGTGTCGCGGTGATCATCCTGTGAATGTGAATAGTCACAGTGTAAGTGGCATGAGTGTCTGAGTCCAGGTCTGATTGGACTGGGTACTAGTTGATCTGAGTCGAGTTCCAGTGGCACCCTGGCCGCCATAATAGCGGTGACTTGCAGCTCCGGTGAGCGCTTGGGGCGTGAAGACTCTGGAAATGAAGCTCCCGCTTGCGCGCTGGCCACATTTCAGCGGTCCGACCGCCGCGTTGACCACATGTCCAGCATGTTCTGTCCGAAGTTGCAGCGACATTTCACCTCGGAGTGGCATCTCATCTCCACCGCTGCGCTGGCACCTGCCCCCACCACCTTGACGTGGCGTTTCGGATTCGGTTGCAGCGCGAAGCACTCGACAGTGGGGGCAGTTTTACATCTCGCAGCCCCTCTGGAAGATGCGACACTTCGTAGGCTCCCACTGTGCTGCCGCCCCCAGCACCCCTCGGAAGTTGCGACAGTTTTGCAGTCCGCAGCGCCCCTGGGGATGGCGAGCACAAATCTGAGTCCGTGTAGGCCCCGACTATGTTGCCCCCTGCCTTCCCCCCAAACAGCCCTCGAACGTGGGGACAGCTCCACACTCCGCAACCCCGCAGAGATGATATGGTCTACTCAGAGTCCGCGTAGGCCCCCGCTAGAACGTCCCCCCATGTATGCTCCGACTGTGCTGGCCCCCCAGCAGCCCTCGAACGTGGGGAAAATGTCACACTTCGCAGCCCCCCAGGGATGGCGAGGTCTAAGCTTAAGCTGAGTATGTCGTCAATCCGCTATCCGTCCCAGCAGCCCTCGAGTGTGGCGACAGTTTCGCAGTCCGCAGCCGTCTCAGCCATGCCGAGGTCAAATCTTTATCTGCGTATGACGTCACTCCGCTGCCCCCCCCCCAGCAGGTTTCGAAAGCGGGAACTGTTTAGCAGTTCGCAGCCTCCCAGGAATGGTTCCACTCCGCTGACCCCCACCAACCCTCGAATGCAGCGACAGTTTCTGCAAACCTTACTCTGCGCATGACGCCATTCCGCTGGCCCCTCCTCCCAGCAATCCTCGAACGTGGCGACATGCTTTGCAGTTCGCAGCCCCCCCGCGAATGGCGAGGTCTAATCTTAATCCGCGTAGGCCCCGACTCCGCTGGCCCCCCCAGCAGCCCTTGAACGCGGCGACAATTTGGCAGTTCGCAGTTCGCAGCCCGCAGTGATGACGAGGTCTAATCTCAACCCGAGTAAGCCCCCCACATGCTGCCCCCCCCCAGCGACCGTCGAAAGTAGAGGCAGTTTCACACTGTGGGATGGCGAGGTCTAGTCTGACTCCGCGCAGGCCCCGACAGTGCCAGGCCCTGACCCCGCGCAGGTCCGCGCAGGTTCCCCGGTTGCAGCGCCCCAGCGCCCCAGAGATGGCAAGGTCTAGTCTGAATTTGCATAGGCGCCGATCATGTTGCCCGAACATGCTCTCCCCGCAACCCCAGCATCCTTCGAAAGTGGGGGTAGTTTCACACTTCGCAGTTTCCCAGGGATGGCGAGGCAGGAGGCAGGCTGGCTGGCAGATAGGAGGCGAGCAAGAGGCATGACAGAAGATGAGGAGGGAGTAGAGGAGGAGGGATGCGAGAGGAGTGGAGACCGCAATGCTCTATTCAATACGAGAATCTAACGCAGAGGGGTTGGGAACGAGGACGCACGAAATAGCCAGGCAAGAGGTATGACAGAAGAGCCAGGAGGCAGGTGGAGGAGGCAAGAGGAAAGAGGAGAAGGGGGTGGGAAGACCGCACTGCTCTATTTCGTATTCTCCGCGGGACCCCAACACATGAGGGTTGGGAAACACATGGCAACGGGTTGAGGAGAGGGAGCAGGTCTATGGAATTCACCAGTTTCACGCCTTCGGATCGGCAAGGGATGAAGATTCCCATATTGGAGTCATTGTTCTCAGTCGTGCCTCTACGGGGACGAGGAGGCGGAAGCCCGCAGTCCGCCAACCCCGCGCCAGAGCGCGGTGAGGGGAGGTGCCGCTCCGCACGTGAGGGCTGCCGCCGTGGCCACGGCACTGGTCTCGGCCAGAGGCCTGAGCAAGGCCGCAGAGGCTCTCCGACAGCAGGGGGTGGGATGGGAACAGCACGTGTTAGCGATCGGTCGGTTACCGCAGGTCTGCTCGTGTGGTATCCCGATTCGCACAGCGGTCGAGGCCGAGTCAGGTGAAGCTTTGTGGTCGCGTTCCCTCCTCCTCCTCCTCCTCCTCCTCCTCCTCCTCCTCCTCCTCCTCCTCCTCAAAGAAATAATTATCAACTCTCGGTGCCGGTGCACTTCCCTGCTCTCCGCTTTCCTGGGCCTCCCGCGAGGCCCTCTACTCGCCATGGCTGACTTCGCCTCGGGATCCCGTCAGCGCGCGCTTTGGGAGAGGTCCAGGGGGAAACGGCATTGATATACGTATCTAATGGACTTTGCCCCATCCCGCCACTGTGCGTGGGTTGAGGGGAGGACGCCTATTGGATGTTCGTCGGGATCTCGTGGGAGGCTTCTCGGGGCCTCTTGGGGGGAGTTTGGACGCCTCTTGGGCGCCGTTTTGGAGTATTTTGGGGGCCTGTTCTGGGCCTCTGGGGCCTCTCGGGGGCCTCTTGGGGCCTCCTGGGGAGTTCTTGGAGTCGAGGGTTCGAAATCTCCGCTCATGTCCCCCGTCTGGTGCAACTGTTGTTAGGAGAATACGGTACCGTTCTGTCCCGCAGCACCCTTCTTATCCTGAGTAATGATGTATAAGGTCGTTATCGTACGACGACGATCGCTGGGATTTGGCTCAAGGACGCGAAGCGTCCGAGAGCGGACATTGAACTGCTGATTTGGATTACGGCAAGCGCCCACTCGCCAGACGAGAGCGTTCATGACATCATTTTGCCATTGATCTTCTTGCCGTTTCTTTTGCTACTGTCGAGGTTATATTGCGATAGCACAAGGGTAATCTACCCCATACCTAGGCGAAGCCGCCAAGGTTCGCCTAGAAGGGACGGTTTCGGATTCTCAGAGTGGAGCAAAAGATCTACTCAGAAAACCACTTCGTCTGTTTCAGTCCGGGGCTGCTCCAGGAAAATTGACGTCATCCTCAACGACCCGCATGATCCAATTACCTTTCTTTCATCAGTGACATGAGTGAACACAAACGGGTACACGACAACGGTAACAATGAGAACGAAATGCGAGGAGGTGACTAATGATTTTGAACCCCCCGACGACGACGAGACTTTGGCCCGTCAGATGGGAACTTCCAAGAAGCGCGAATCAGCTCGAGTTGTATGTTGTAAAGGACCTGCGGAAACAGGAAGGACTGATGATAAGAAGAAGGGAGCGTGGCCGGGGGGCGAAGGGGTGAGGGCCGCGGGCGAAACCCAGCCCAAAGCGGGCGCCGGAACTCGTAATGATGTTGAACCTGAAGACGCAGGACGCGCCTTGGAAGACGGACGGAGGGCTGGAGAGCGACGGACAAGAGTACCTACATGAAGGAGCGCCTCAGGGTAACAGGGGGGCGAAGGGATCGGAGCCGCCGCCAGGCGCGGCGCTCCAGAAGGACGAGTCGGACTTTTCGATGGTGACGATGCGAAATGGATGAGTTTAACTTCTTGAAGATCGCACGTTTTCCGAAACAGCTCGTGAACATGGATTGGAACCGCCGTTTGCAGCGAGGGCGCGACGATGGCAAGTTGCCGCGGGATAGAGAGTGCCCGGAGGTCCAGAAGAAGGACGCCAAATCGCGCAAGCTCGCGATGACGACCCCCTACGGGCGAGCTCGGGTTAGGGACTTTCGGAAGGAAGAAATGGAAGACCCGCAAGGCGGGGGAAGGAGGAACAACGCGCAGCGGAACGGAAGGTCGCAATGGTGCACGCGCCGACGGATGCCAGGCAGCTGGTTAGCTCGGAGGCGGTAGGCTCGACGCGGGCCAGCGGATGCAGCAGGGCCGCTCACGGACAGAGCGCGGTGCTGAGCAGAGCGAATCGTTTGCTGGAGTCTGCGGAGCGGATCGAGGAGTTCGAGAAGTGGCCCGAAGGGGCCCTGGAGATGAGAGCGCTCGCGTTCCCCGACACCTTCACCGACGAGTTCATGCGCGTCGGTCGCATGACTTGGTGAGGATCTATGCGTTGGCAGGACTGAACTATGATAGCGCCGCGATGGCGGACGCCCTGCAGGAATCCTACGCGATGCGGTTCAAGGACGAGTCGGACCAGGCGACCCTGCGACCTTTGCCGAATGTCCAGCGCGCGAATCGCCGATGGCGATCCACGAAGTGGTGGGCGCAGAAAAGCTGAAGACCCATATCATCGGAGGAAGGATCCGATATCGGACGGGGGGGCCGAAGGGCCCTCCGCGACCACTATTCGACGCGACGCGGAGTTTAAGCGAGGACATGCTCCGCGGTGCCCCCCCGAACGGCGAGGCGGATGCGTGTGAAGTTCGCTCATATCGGCATTGTATTGTATATACATACAACGGCGCACCGGGTCCGGGCGCCCGGGGCCGGCGCCGCTACCACAAATGTGGGTTCCGGGGCCCTCGGGGAGCCCCGGAGCCTCACAGAAGACCGCCAGAAGGCACCAAGGAGGCCCCAAGAGGCTCCAGAACAGACCCGGGACGCCCGAAGGTCGCTCCCAGACGCCCAACATGGCCTCCAAGGCGGCTTCAGAAACCTCCAAGACACTCCAATCGACCCCCAATAGGGCCCCAAAGAGAGCCCCAAGGGGCCAAATTAGCCCCATTCTCTTCGTAAAACGTATATTTTCAACATGTTGCTTGTTTTCGCTGTCGGTCTGGCCGAGGACGCGCCCCAGAGGGCGCCAATACAGCCCCAGAGAGCTCCAGGACGGCCCACGAAGGGCCCAAGACGGCCCAATAGAGTCCCCAAGACGGGCCCGAGAGGGCCCCAGAGGAGGAAAACCACAATCGAATTCCAAGCGTTGGACCCCAAGTGGCTCCAGGAGGCGCCGAAAAGCCCCCAAGAAGCGCCCGGAAGGCTCCCAAAAGCACCCCAAGACGCTCCAAGAGGCACCCCACGAGAGCTCCAAGAAGCAAAAATCGCCCCATTCCTTTTGGGAAAACGTATATGTTTCGTATGTCCGCCTGTTGGGCTGTCGTCGCGTCCAAGACGGCCCAAGGGGTTCCCAAGACGGCCTAGGAGGCCCCCAAAAGAGCTTCAAGACGGGCCACGAGAAGCCCAGGACGGCCCAATGGGCCCCCAAGACGGCCCAAGAGAGCCCCAACACGCGCCCGAGAGGAGTCCCAGAGAAAGAAAGCCACTCTCGAATTCCGAGCTTTCGGCCCCGAGAGAACCCAGGAGGCGCCGATACACCCCCAAGAGGCCCCAAGCAGGCCCCCCAAAGCACCCCAAGATGCTCCAAGAGGCACCCCAAGAGAGCCCCAAGAAACGAAAATCCGTCCATTCCCGTAGGAAAACGTATATTTTTCGCATGCTCTCCTCTTGGGCTGTCGCCGCGTCCATGACGGCCCAAGCGGCCCCCCAAAACGGCTTAGGAGGCCCTTAAGAAATCTCCAAGACGGCCCAGGAGGAACGCAGGACGGCCCAATCGGCCCCCAAGACGGCCCAAAAGAAGCCCAAGAAGCGCCCGAGAGGGGTCCCAGAAGAAGACCGCCACTTTTCTAAAGAAGGGAATTCCCAGAATTCCCTTTAGAAAAGTGGGACTCCTACTGGGTGTCCCACACATCCCCTGACATCTGGCCGGTACCGCGCCTCCCGGCTTCCCAGGGGGAGACCCCAAGACGCCGAAGGACAGCCCATGACGACCCCAAGGAGCCCCCATAACGTAAAGAACGGCCCAGCACGCTCCCGCGCAGCCCGAGACACCCTTCCGACGGCTCTCCAGGCCTCCAGGAGGCCTCCAGAAGCCCCAGGGGGTCTGGAAGATCCCACACCCCTCAGGGACCCGGCTAACAAAACCCGCGAGGCACAAACAAAAAACAGCGCCGAACAGCGCCGAGGAACTGTAAAACATTGGAATCCCACATTTTTGTTTTGTTTTCCAAGCTTGGCCCCCGGTCTACTCTTGCACAACAGACCAAAATTACGATCCCCCTCACCTTCCAAAAATAATTCAGGAAGCCTTTAAGGGCCCCAAGTCGTTGAATACCTTCCGCACTTCCCCTTCTATGCGAGTCCGAGGCTTGCGTAGGGCCTCCAAGGGAGTCCCTGGACGCAAGAAGCGACCAACATGATATTACATGAGTTAGCCGATCAAGCCGAGCTAGAACTTGAGCGCCCGCAAAGCGCGCGCGATGGTTCTAGTCCCTATCTACTGCCGACGTCTCGGCCCAGGCATCGGGCATTGGCGCTGGGTACCGCGCCGCCCCAACCCTAGCACATTACAAAGTACTCGCGGCCCCGAAGCCATAGCCCCCTTGAAAATTATCACATATTCGCGTCCCCGAAACCATACAACCTTTTGCAACTTAAACAATTTTATCGCCCCCGAAGCCACAAACCCTTGTAAATTACGCAACGGTCGCGTCCCCGAGACCATAAAGCCTAATAAGTTATGCCACGCTTGCGTCCCCGAGGCCATAAACCTTGCAAATTGCATAATGCGTCCCCGAAACCACAAACCTTTTTGTAAATTAGGCAATACGTAACTCTAATAATGTATATTGCTTCGGGAACGCGAATATTGCGCAATTTACGAGGATGTATGGCTTCGGGGACGCGAATATCGGAGTTTGGGGGGTGAGTCCGACGTGAGACGGAGATCCCCCCTAACGAGAAATCGATTTCGATTTCGGGTTCGTGTCGTGCGTGCCGTGCGTGCGTGCGGGCGAGGCGAAGCTGCGTGGGCGGGCCAGAGAAAATCCTCCTGTGGTTGGGCCGCGGCCAGACCAAATGTTTCTCCTGCGGCGGTCGGTGGCCCGCGGGTGTCCCGCTGGTGTCCCGAAGCCCTCCTGTGGGTGGGCCGCGGCCGGACCAAATGTTTTCTCCTCCGGCGGCCGGTGGCCCGCGGTGTCCCGCCGGTGTCCCGCTGGTGTCCCGTTGTGTCCCGTGTTGTCCCGTGGTGTCCGCCGCTGCTAGGGCGAAGTCAAGACAAATGATTATCCTCCAATCGGCGGTGGCTCGCGGTGTCCCGTTGTGTCCCGTGGTGTCCCGTGGTGCCCGCAGTTGCTAGGGCGAAGTCAAGACAAATGATTATCCTCTTTCCGCCCGTCCGGCGGTGGCTCGCGGTGTCCCGCGATGTCCCGTGGTGGCCCGGAGTGTCCCGTGGTGTCCTATGGTGTCCCGTTGAGTGAGATCGATAGTGAGATCAATAGTGAGATCGATAGTGATATCGATAATGAGATCGATATTGAGATCGATGTGGTGCCCCGAGGTGTCCCGTGGTGTCCCAAAGAGTGAGATCGATAATGAGATCGATAGTGAGATCGACAGGTGTCCGTGGTGTCCCGTGGTGCCCCGTTGAGTGACATCGATAGTGAGATCAATAGTGAGATCGATGTGGTGTCTCGAGGTGTCCCGTGGTGCCCCGTGGTGTCCTATGGTGTCCCGTTGAGTGAGATCGATAGTGAGATCGATAGTGAGACCGATCGTGAGTTCGACAGGTGTCCCGCGGTGTCCCGTGGTGTTCCGTGGTGTCCCGTTGAGTGAGATCGATATTGAGATCGATGTGGTGCCCCGAGGTGTCCCGTGGTGTCCCGTTGAGTGAGATCGATAGTGAGATCGTCAAGTGTCCCGTGGTGTCCCGTTGAGTGAGATCGATAGTGAGATCGATTGAGTCAGGTGTTGACTCTCCCCCTCTCCCCCCCACAACCTCCTTATCACCCGAAGGGTGGTCGTATAGGTATATTGTAGTCTACTAGGTATTATAGCCTCGGGAACGCGAATATCATTGATTTTAGCGTGTCACACGACCCCCCTGGAATTCAGAGCACTCGATTCGGGGGTTACGCTTTTCGGCTCCCCCGCTTGCGCGTTCAGCAACAATTAAGAGTAAGGAAGCAGAACGCTGAAACAGGGAGCTACAATCCTGATCCTCGCAGCCTGATGGCCCCGCAAGGGGAGGCCGGCGGATTTTTGTTTCCCTCTCCCATTTCTCCCAAGACCCGCCCCGGCCGGTTTTGTGTGGTTGTCACGGTCGTCCACGAGGCCAGAACCGCAGGCCAAAGAGTGAATAGTTTCTTTCCCTTCCAGCTCCTCCCCTAGGTTCTCCTCCCTCTCTCCTCCGTCACTCCTCCCTCCCAACTGCCCTCCTTCGATGCTCCATCCTTTTTCCCCGCCTGGGAGGAGCTCCGCCAACAGGCAACACCGCCATGCGCGCCGAGCGCCGTAAGCGATAAGGGGCCTCAGTCTCAGTTTGGATTGGGGCTCCGAACGGGGCTGATCCCCGCAATGGTGCCTGCCTGCGCGGGGCGAAAGCTGGCCCTCCCTCCTCCTCGCTGCCCGTCGGCCCCCGAGAGAGCCTGCTCCGTGAGGGCCACAGCAGGGCGTCCCGTCAGGGGCCATTTCGGTCCGATCGATCCTGTTCGATACTAATCGCTTTCGGCCAGCCCGATTTGATTCGATTCGGATATTCCGACGGTGCGACGCGGCCCGATGCTCGCGTGGCGTTGCTGTGCATCCTGGTGCAGCCGATCCGATTCGCAGCCCGATCCGACGTACATTCCGATTCGGTCGAATTTCCGGATTCGATGTTGACTGATCTTGCCCGTCAGTAAGTTGAGACCGCCGCCGCCCCAGGAGTTGCCCGGAGCGGGTGGGGGCTCCTCCCCTCCGAGCGTGTCGTAACGAAGGGGCGCGAACGGTGCACGTTTCTCCGCTTCCTCTTTCATGGCCCGCTCGTCAAGCAACGCCCACATTCGAAGACAGATGTCCGAAGACTGAGTTGATCAATCGCTTCGCTCAATCCGCTGGCCCATATTTCTAGGCTTCCTAGATGGGGTCCGAGTAGATGGGGTCGGTGGATCGCGCCGCATCGCCGATGCATCGACGATGCGGCTCGATGTGGAGACCGTGTTTCCCCACGCATACGGCGCCGATGCGTCGCCGACGTCGTTGATGTATCGCTTAGGTATTGGCGATGCGGCGCGATCCCCCGACCCCATCTACTCAGACCCCATCTAGGAGGCATCTAGTCTTGTCTCACATCGCTTGCTTGCGTGGTCACGGGGGCGCTTCTTGGGGGGGGCCCGTTGGGCCCTCCTGGGAGCCTCTTGGAGCCGCTGGACGCCGCCGTCGTCGTCGTTGTCGTCGCCGTCGTCGTCGCCGCCGTCGTCGTCGTCGTCGCCGCCGTCGTTGTCGTAACGCCCAGTGCCCCCCCCCCCCCGCGCGGCCAGGCTGCCGGCAGCAGCGCGGCGGTGCGCGGCGGCGTGGGCGCCATGCTGCGCTGGGGCACCCAGGCGCCTCTCCTTCGACCGCCCGCCGCCGCCGGGGGAGGATCCGGATGGGGCGCGGATCGAGCTGTTAGCCAGAGGAGAAAAATATACCCAGGCAGTGGAAACCCGTGCCGAGAAACACCCTGGTTGCCTCCAGGGTGCCCTGGATGTCTTGGGTTTCGATGGTTTTGCAATGGCAAGCGTGAGGATCCCACGCCAAAATCAATGGACGTCCTGGGGTCTCAGGATAGGTCTTCTTGTGGGAGGTTTTCTGTGGTTGAGCTACTGTGCCGCCCCTTCTCTCGTTTATGCCTTTTTGGGCCTCCTGGGAGGCTCTCGTCGCCACCGCTGGATTCGCCTCGATCTTCTGGTCAGAACGCACCCAGGGGAGGTCCGGGGAGTAGCGGCATCGGTACCTTTTGGGGTCCCCAGATGTAGAGATGGGGACCAACGAAAACGGGTGTCAGCCAGAGCACCGGCTCTTGCAGGATGATGCAGAGGCAGGGTTGCATTGACTCAGGCTAGCGCGCAGGATCTTTCAGGATTTTGCAGGATTTCGCAGGATCCTAGAAAGCCTAACTGACCCAGGACAGTAGAAGCCCGAGTTGAGCGCGGGGAGGTGGATGGGCAACGATCTGGGGGAGATGGGCTCAGGGTATGTTCGAGCTTCGAGGTGTTCGGGCGTTTTCGTTGGTTACAAGCCGGTTTTCCAGCCTCGGGATGCATTCCAGCAGCTCCGCCTCGCCGAGAGCATTCCAGTGCCCGGATCCTCCCGAACGGCGGCTGGATAGCCGAGTTATGATTGGGACGTCAGACGACGAGGATCATTGGGCAGGATAGGCTCAGGGGTGAATGCATTGACCCTCAATCGCCCACTGATCGCTGATAGGGGCCTGATGGCCCACCCCGCCCAGGACCGCGCGGATTCGCTACCGTGCGGATTCGATCCATCGGCGACGTACCGCCGACTCCATGGGCGATGGCTCCCCCCCCTTGATCCAGTGCCCCCCTTAAGCGAGTCCCTTCCGAGGCCAGGGCCCCGGGAGCCCGGACTCTGCAGACCAGGAGAAGCACGGAGAACGGGTCGGCCCATGGCTGCAGTTCTCTCGGACGTGCCGACGTCGAGATGCGTCGGGGGCTCGTCTGCGGGGCCCCGCAGAGGGCGAGCGCGGGGCTGCGAAGAGGAGGGAGGAGCGAGCACGAGCCCGAGAAGATGTGCAGTCGAGCAGGGGGTCGACCACAGAATTGATTCGCCCCCAAGTTTTGTTGTCCGTCGAATCTGCGAACGCATGCGTAGAGTGTCTCGTAGATCTACGGGGCGTTCTGCATATTCTTGGTAGACTCGACGAATCCATCAATTCTGGGGTAAATCAATGCTGTAGTCGATCCCCTCCTCGAAGCAGGGGAGACAGAGGGAGGGTGGGAGGGATGCGCACGAGGTGCCGGGGAGGGACGGGGGCACGGAGCCTTCGGTGGGGCAGCGGAGGCACGGGGCGCGCGGAACGGGCACGCGCAGGAACACGAGCGCAGGGATGTTTCCGTAGGTCTCTGGAGGCCTTTTGGGGGGGGGGGGGGCAGGCAGAGGCAGGAGGCGTCATGCAGGTCGAAGCCTCGAGCCTCGAAGATGGATGGTCAGCCTTCGGAGGGCCAACAAGCGCTTCATGCTCGTAAGAAGGGCATCGGGAGACCTTAAGCATTGCGGAAGACGAGGAGAACGAGGTGAAGGAGGCGGTGCCATTTGACGCCGGCATGGGCTTCTCATACCATCCTGCCTCCTCCGCTTCTTATTTTTACCCCTGCGCGGTTGACAGCTGGTGCCCTCCAAAAAAGGGCATCGCCTCCGAGGATCGAAGAAGTCGGTACTCGTCCTCGGCGGAAGGCGGCGGCAGAATGTCAGCCGAAAGCGGCGAGCGGGAGCAGCAACACGAGGGCGGCGGAAGGCGGCGGAGTGTCGGCGGAAGGCAGCGGAAACCGGCGGATGTAAACATTTGCCATGCGCGGATCAGGGGCAGGCAGCTCGTATGCGCCCTTTTTTTCCGGAATGGGCATAAGCCCAGGGTTCTCTTTTAGTTTGTTTACCCCCGGGTTTGACTTGAGGTGGGCCGGCGAATTTCTTTTGCTATCAATATCGAGGTCGAGGTGGGCCGGCGAATTAAAATTAGAGGATGTCTCAAGCGAAACGCTTGTTTTTCAGAATTGGTTGAAGATGTCTCGAGCGACACGCTTGTTTTGTCTTATAGTTTGTCCTCTCCTGGGGACCAGAATTCAGAGGATCTCTCAAGTGAAATGCTTGTTTTCACGTGCCCGGGTCTTGAGGATGTCTCGAGCGAGACGCTTGGTTTCACGCCTCCAGGTTGCTCAGGCAGAGGTCTAGCGCCAGGATATGTTGAGGATGTCTCGAGCGAGACGCTTGGTTTCACGCGTCCCCTGGGCACGTCCCGCGGTACGTCCCGTGGCACGTCCCCTGGCATGTCGCTTTGCGCGTCCCTTGGGACGTTTCGCGGCGCGTCCTCCTGGCATGCACCCTTGTCAATTAGCTCTGAGGCAGCTACTTCGTGCTCAGGCAGCTCGAGCTTTTAAGATCCTGATCAGTTCGGTCACGACTCGAATGCAAAGGATGACTCGATCCACAACGCTATAGAGCAATCGCGGCATGGCACATCGCAATTCAGCACGGCGCAGTACAGCCCAGCCCTCGGAACGGTACATCAAGATCGATACACTCAGCATTGCAACTTGGCATGTTTCTTGGCACATTTCGTGGCGCGTCCCGTGGCGAGTCCCCCTGGCACGTCGCGCGGCGCGTCCCTTGGCACGTCCCGTGGAATTTCCATTGGCACGTTCCGTAGCGACTCCCCTTGGCACGTCCCGCTGTGCGTCCCCATGGCACGTCCCCTGGCACGTCGCTTGGCGCGTCCTTTGGGACGTTTCGCGGCGCGTCCTCCTGGCATGTCCCCCTGTCAATTGGCTCTGGGGCAGCTACAATGTGCTCAGGCAGCTCGAGCTTAAGATCCAGATCAGTTCGGCCACGACTCGGATGCAAAGGAGGACTCGATCCACAACGCTATAGAGCACAATCTCGGCATGACACATCGCAATTTAGCACGGCGCAGCTCAGCGCAGCCCTCGGCAGGGTACAGCAAGATCGATAAACTCAGCATTGCAACCTTGCATGTTTCTTGGCACGTTCTGTGGCGCGTCCCGTGGCGAGTCCCCCTGGCACGTCGCGCGGCGCGTCCCTTGGCACGTCCCGTGGCATTCCCATTGGCACGTCCCGTGGTGCGTCCCCATGGCACGTCCCCTGGCATGTCGCCTGGCGCGTCCCTTGGGACGTTTCGCGGCGCGTCCTCCTGGCATGCCCCCTTGTCAATTAGCTCTCAGGCAACTACTTTGTGCTTAGGCAGCTCGAGCTTTTAAGATCCTGATCAGTTCGGTCACGACTCGAATGCAAAGGATGACTCGATCCACAACGCTATAGAGCACAATCTCGGCATGGCACATCGCAATTCAGCACGGCGCAGTACAGCACAGCCCTCGGAACGGTACATCAAGAACGATACATTCAGCATTGCAACTTGGCATGCTTCTTGGCACGTTCGGTGGCGCGTCCCGTGGCGAGTCTCCCTGGCACGTCGCGCGGCGCGTCCCTTGGCACGTCCCGTGGAATTTCTATTGGCACGGTCCGTAGCGCGTCCTCTTGGCACGTCCCGTTGTGCGTCCCCATGGCACGTCCCTTGGCACGTCGCTTGGCGCGTCCTTTGGGACGTTTCGCGGCGCGTCCTCCTGGCATGTCTCCCTGTCAATTTGCTCTGGGGCAGCTACAATGTGCTCAGGCAGCTCGAGCTTAAGATCCAGATCAGTTCGGTCACGACTCGGATGCAAAGGAGGACTCGATCCACAACGCTATAGAGCACAATCTCGGCATGACACATCGCAATTTAGCACGGCGCAGCTCAGCGCAGCCCTCGGCAGGGTACAGCAAGATCGATAAACTCAGCATTGCATCTGCCCGTCGCCCAATCCTGTGTCTTTGAAAACGTTGCCATGCGTTGCATGCCTATATTCCATTCCGGGTTCGTAGGTCGATCAAGTCGTGCATTGGTCTGTGCCGCCGTTGCCTTTCGCGGCGCATCCTTCTGTACGAAGTTGCAGGCTGTTGGTGGCACGCGCGGCCCATGAGGAGCATCAGCAGCGAGCAGGAGGAGGAGCTCTAGATATGCAGTTTTTCGGTGTTCAGGGTTTCCATGGCACCCGCCAGCTGTTGTGCGCTGCTTGAGGCCCCAGCTTTTGTTGTGCCTGTTGGACACGAAGCCATGTTCGGTCAGCAGGTCGACCCCGCAGAATCAGGGGTGCCCGTCTCCAAGGTCGACTCTGCAGATCCAGGTTGACTTGAGCTGTTGCGAGGGCGTCTTCCTTCTCTCCTTCCCTCCCCCTTTCCAAGAGTTCGCGCAGAACAAAGAAATCAGGAGGACCCGTGGGTCCTGTCAAATCGTGCCTGGTGGCCTTTTGAAGTCATGTGCGCGGGCTGCCCTCAGAAGAGAAACAACAACAACACAGACACAAGTTTTCGGAGAGCCTCGCCGATGTCTTGGCGCCCCCCGCCCCTGGCGCTGAACCCGCGGGAATCTGAGGCGCCGCAAGGGGAGTTTGACGACCCACGGTCCAGCGCCGATCCAAAATAGCCAGTGCTGATCCATGAAGTCCGCATGTCTGGTTATGCCGTTTGTTGTCCCCCAGTGTCTTGGTACTGCTGCATTCGAATGATCGTCCGCCGGCATCTTCTTCGTGCGCTCGCGCTCCCGCTCTGCGCAGCCCCCCCTTTGTGTAATTCCACCATATGAATGCGATTAGCATTTCTCCCCCGAACTTGTGTGGAGAATAGCCGGCCCCCTTCCGCGTGCTGGTTATTTACACATGTTCTGCGCGCGAGGTTGTCTTTCGCGGCTGTTTTATATATATATATATAAAAATATATATATATATATATATATATATATATATGTGTGTATGTATATGTATATATACATCTATATGTATATGTATATATATATATATGTGTATACATATATATATATACAAATATATACAAATATATGTATGCCAGATTTGCGCGAATTGGCTTTCAGTATGGCTTGTTTCGCTGCATCGTGGGCCTCATTTTCGGATCGGCGCTGTGCTCAAGCTGGTCAGAGCAGCGCCCCCGACACAGCGCGGGCCACTGCTGAGGATATCACAGGTCACGTGGGTCTCGCAGGCACCACAGGTCCCACAGGACCCACTGTCGCAGGTCGCCCTACCGGTCTGACAGGTCCCGCAAGTCCCACATGTTTTGTTGGTCTCGTACGCCCCACAAGTCCGACAGGTCCCGCAGGTCCCAGAGGTGTCGCATGTCTCACAGGTCCCACAAAAGTGCCCCAGGCCCCACATGTCCCGTAGGTCCCCCCGGTGCCACGGGCCCTACACGTCTCGCAGGTCTTCCAGGCCCCACAGACCACAGAGAGGTCCCCCAGGTCGCACAGGTCCCACGTTTCCCCTTTCAGACTGCGCGCAACACAATTGGGTCTTTTTGTGGTTTTCCAGGTCGGCTATGACACACACCCGCGGATAGGGACACTGTCAGCGCAACAGGCAGGGATGGGAGGGAGGGATGCAATGTCAGAAATGGCGCGAGCGCGCCTCGCCTGCCCCCCCCTCTCATGCTCCTCCTCCCCCTCGTCCTCCTGCTCCTCCTCCTCCCCGTCCTCCTTGCTCCTTCTTCTCCCCCCCCCCTCGGATGTTGCCCGAGGTGTCCCTGGCCTGGGGAGCGCCCAGGATTTGCTGCGAGGCCCAGGTGGTCTCCAGGGCACCCCTCGGGAGGGCCTCCAGATTGGGCGAACAGTTGGGGGCGCCGCAGGCCAGGACCACTTCGAGCAACACGCGCCCCCCCCCACCCGCAGGAGGCCACGGCCACCGTGACCGAGATGGAGGAGACGCCCCGCCCCTCGGGAGTGATAGCGAGCGAGCTTCAGTGGCACGTGCGCAGTCTTTGATACTGCGCGCGTCACTCGTTCACCTGTTGTGTGGAAGGCTGTGATTTGTTCAGCAGTGACGTTTTTTGTTCGAGCAACCCACCCTCCGCCGGTGGAAGTAGCGGTCACTATCCCTTCCGGAGGAGGAAAGTCCCATCCTACCCTTGCAAGTAGATGTGGACATCGACACGGGAGGGTGAGAAGAGAGAGAGGGGGAGACGTGCGGAATGGGGAGGATGGTGAGCAGGAGGAGGAAGAGGAGGATCAGGAGGAGGAGGAAGATCAGGAGGAGGAGGAAATAGAGGGCAGAGGGGTGGGGGGCGGAGGAGGAGAGGGAGGAGGAAGAGGAGAAGGAGGGAGAGGAGGAGAGGAGGAGGATAATGACGAGGAGGAGGAGGAGGAGGAGGAAGAGGAGGAGGAGGAGGCCCACTCCCCCATTTGCACCCTTCTGTGAGCGAGTTCGGCCGCAGGAGACCCAAACGGATCCGTTCGGTGATCATGTCCGAGAACTTCGAAAATTCTGCGCCAGGCACCTTCATCGTTCTCGCCCCACCTCCTAGTCCTCCTCAACTCCGACTTCCTCCCCTCTCTTTACCATGGGGTTCAGGAGTAGTTTTGGTTCCAGGTATGCCCTGCAGGAGCAGACGCAGTCTTCTTACCGCATTCCTGCATTCCCTCCTCCTCCTCCTCCTCCTCCTCCTCCTCCTCCTCCTCCTCCTCCTCCTCCTCCAATCGTTTCTCTTCCGTCCCGTGTCTCTCTTTCTCTGTTCCCGTCCGTCCCCTCCGGCCTCCGCGCTCGCTATCCTTCCCCCGTCTCCACTCTCGCTCCGGGTCTCCCTTCGCCGTCCCGCTCCTCCTCCCCCTCCCCCGATGATCGCCCCTGCAGGAGAGGGTGGCGCTCTGCCAGCTCAGAGTGCGGGAGGAGCAGTTCGCGCTGGCGAGCCACAAGGAGACCCGTGGGACCGAGCCTCCGCGGGTGGCGGCTGGAGGAGGGTCAATTGCCATGCAGCGTCGAGAGGGGTGCCGAGCCTCGGGGTTCGACTATTTGGGGCGTTTGCCGCCAGCGCGTGCCGCCCCTCTGCCGCAGAGCTCTTGACGAGTCTTTGAACAACGTGCGTGTGTGTATTGTGTGTTTGTGTTTGTGTGTGCGATTCCGACGATGATCGATCGCAATTCGCACTTCCATCGGATGCCCGCGCCTGAGGACCCTCTGCACCGCTGACTTAAAAGTGTGTGTGCTTGTGTTTTCACACGGCGCAGCTCACAGAAAACGCAAAGCATGTCGACTCAGGCCACTCGACGACCCGTGGGTAAAAAAACGGGCCCGCGGGGTCCCACTGAAGAGAGAGAGGGAGAGAGAGAGAGAGAAGGAGAGGGACGCGCACACCTTTTTGCTGAATCCAGCGTGGCGGCGGTGTGCGCCGTCCTCGGAGCCAGCGCCTAGGCCCCTGTGGCCTCGGGCGCAGGCCAGCGTGGCAGCGAAGCGCCTGCTCCCCCCACCTCATTCGCTCATAGCCCAGCGCGAGCTCACGGTCAGCCCCCCGCGCCAGGGCCAGCGCCCGGCGGCGACAAGGGGGGTTGGCGCCAGTCTGCGCAGCGTTGTGCCAGCCGGCGCTGCAACCGCGGGCCAGTCGGGCCCCGCTGCATTGAGTGCCCAGCATTGGCTGATTGACGCCCAGCGCTCCTCCCACGGCGGCGGGCGGCTCCATAGCGGCGGCGGCTGCGGCTGCGGGGCCGCCCAGCGCGCACCTCGCTGCATTTTGCGTTGTCATCTAGCCGCGGGGCCCCAGGGCAAAACCAGCTCCAGCTCCGGCGGCGGAAGCAGGCCCAAGGGCGCTGAGCGGCGGCTGCGGCGGCAGCATCCAGCGCAGGCCCAGATGGGGCCGAAGACGAGCGTGTCGATCGCGATCGAGAGATCCGAAAGAGCGCGTCCTGTTGGCGCTTGGAGGGGGGGGTGGAACCGTACCACCCCCCTCTTCTCTCATTCTCCTCGGGCCGGAACCGGCTTCGGCGGCGGCTGGCGGCGGCGGCGGGGAGCGTCGATGAACACAATTTGTTCCTTTTCTGGGCCGGCGCCATCGGCGGCTGGCGGCGGCGGGGGGCGTCGACGAGGGCGACGGGGGCGACGATGACGCAACGCACCGCCACCATGCCTTGGTTTTGGGTTAGCGTCCTATTGGATGCCTCCTGGGTTCTCGTCGGATAGCTCTCGGGGGCCTCTGAAGGGCATTTGTAAAGCCTCCTGGGCGCCTCTTGGGCGTTTCTTAGGGCCTCTCTGAGGGAGGCGGTGGTGGTGGTGGTGGTGGTCTGTGGTGGTGGTGGTGGAGGTGGTGGTGGTTGTGACGGCGGTGGTGGTGGTGGTGGCGTGGTGGTTGGTGGTGGTGGTTATTGTGGTGGTTGTGGTGGCAGGCTGTGGTGGTGGCGGTGGTGGCGGTGGTGGTGGGTTGTGGTGGTGGTGTGATGGTTTCTGGTGGTGGTGGTGATAGTTGTGGTGGTGGTGGATGGTGGTGGTGGCGGTGGTGGTGTGGTGGTTTGCCGTGGTGGTTGCGGTGGTGGTAATTACTGGTCGTGGTGGTGGTGGGTTGTGGTGGTGGTGGTTGTTGTTGTGGTTGTGTGGTGGCTTGTTGTGGTGGTGGTGGTGGTTGTGGTGGTGGTGGCTGTGGTGGTGGGTGGTGGTGGTGGTGGTGGTGATGGTGGTGTGGTGGTTTGTTGTGGTGGTGGTGGTGGTGGTGGTGGTGGTGGTGGGTTGTGGTGTTGGTGGTGGTGGCGGTGATGGTGGTGGCTGAAGCGCCGCAGGCCGTCAGCACCACCAGCTAGAAGGGCCAACAACGACGCGGAGAGCCCAACCTTACCCACAGCAGTTGCGCAGGATACTTGCTTACGCTCTGTTACAAAGAGTACGGGATGCACATATCAATTATGACATTGCTCTCGCCACCCTCCATCCCTCGGCTCCGCCTGCCCCGATCAATCCTTACTAATTCGAGGGCTTTCCTTTCGGGCGTTTTCGGTGTTCTTTATGGCTTGGCCCAGGGGTGCTGGCCCACGACCCCAGTGGCGGCTGGGTCGTTGCCGCCAAGAAGCGCGTGGTTTCTACGAGACGTATGTTTTCCGCTGACAAGCGAGGCCCCCTAGATAGATGGGTGCGTGTACAAAGCTATCTTTTGGGGACCCGTGATCATCGACGTGCTTTAAAGAGGGCTTCGTCCGCAGCCGTCCTCTCTCAAGTCTGCTGCTCCGGCCCACCCGTCCCACTACCAAGACTTTTTTCAAGGCTTGGTCCAGGGGTGCTGGCCCACAGCCCCATTGGCGGCCAGGTCGCTGCCGCCAAGACGCGCGTGGTTTCTACGAGACGTATCAGAATTGGTGAAAAACAAGGCCCCCTAGATAGTAATTTGCCCGGGGGTTGTGGCTTGCGGAGCGCGAGCCCGACGCACTTTGTAGCGAAAGTGGTTTCGGAAGCGCTGTTTGGAATTGTGCACAAGGGATGGGGGCGTCGGGGGCGCGAACCTCGCGCAATTTCAATGGATTCTGGCCTCGGGCGCGCGAGCGTAACGGAATTTAGAACGGATTGCGGCCTTCAGAACGCGATTCGATTGTAAATTGATGTGTCCCACGGCCACCCCTAGGATTTCAGATCATGAAATGGAAGGGGATTTCGGCGGTTTTCGGGTTACGCCCATACTGTAGAACGCAGAGCAACAACCAGGCTTAACTTGGGAATTCCGGATCAGTTTCCGCCACGCAGCCTGTTGGCCCCCCACGTGGGCCAGCGGACTCAACCAGCGCGCGTGGCAGCGATAGGATTGCTTGTAGGAGCTAGGAGCTCGACATACGCCCTTCGTCGTCTTCCTCGCCCTCGCTCGTCCTCCTCACTTTTCCTCCGCGCCCCCACACCTTCATCCTCACCATGTATCCTCTGTCCTTCTTCCTCACTGTGTCCTCTGTCTTCCCTCTTCCGCCCCCCCCATGGGCACGCATCTGCGAAATTCCGACTGCACCATCCTCGTCGCATTCTTCGTTCTGCTCCTTTGCTGCCCTCCTGGCGCTGCGGGCCGCGCGGCGCCGTGGGCTGCGCTGCCACTTGGCGCTGTTGCGCAGGACGCCGTTGCGCGTTGCGCTGCTGCCGTGGTTCACGCCCGCTTTCGCGCGATCGCTTCTGGGTAGTTGCGCCTGCTGTGGGCGGAACCGCGCTTGCGCGGGAAGCCTGAAGAGTTGGGTTTCGGAGGTCCGTGTTTAATGAATGAAAACCTTCCGCCCCATCCATGCCATTCCTTCCCCTGCTCCTCCTCCTCATGTCGTGCCTCCTCCTCCTCCTCCTCCTCCTCCCCCTCCTCGCCATTCTGGTATACCTCTGTACCTTTCAGGATAAGCCCGTAATCCTCATCTTCTTTCTCCTCCTCCTCGTCGTCCTCCTCCTCCATTTTGGGTCAAGCACTGTTGGCATCAGCAGCGCCTGCCGCACTCCGCGCGCGGACGGTCCGTCGGCATATTTCGCTTCATGTCTAAACGCGGAGCTGATGGCTCTCCTGCTATGTCTACTGATGGTATGTCCGATGATGAGGATAGGCGACGTGCAGACAGGTCATCCTCGCGAGAGATCACGAATGCCGACCTGCTCAAGTACATGAAGGGGATGGACAGGAGTGTGAACACTAAACTCAAGAAGGTGCAAAATGATTCGAGGGCTATGGATAAGAAAGCGGACGCAGCTGTTGAGGCGGCTCAGAGTGCTCAGAAGATGGCTGCGGACGCTCTTCGAGTCGCTCAGGAGGCTCAAGCAGGGTCAAGGCCTGCGAGTACGGCATCTACCGATGCTGGGCCACCACGTCCTGGCCCGCCCATGGGTGATGATGCCCTGAAGATCGTGATTGGAGGCTTCCCTGAGGCTTCAGACAAAGATGAGATGTTACCTTACCTGGACAAGATCTGCTCGATGGTGGACCCAAACTGCTATTACTCGTAAGTGGTGCGCTTCTCCTGGGAATCATGCAGCAGTGTATTGTCGTGATGATCGTGCAGTTTGGGCACTATTGGGGAAGCATCGTGAATGCGTCGATCGGGACAACTTTGGTGGCACTGACAGTGGTAAGGCACAGTATACTCCTGCTCCTGGTGGTGATGGAGGCCCTCCGCTTCCTGGACTTCGCTTGTGGATGAAGAAGCATCAGTCGATGGAGCAGCGTCAGGTGACATCGACTCTGGTGAACATGGCTATTGTGCTTTCGCAGGCTGAGGGCAAAGGGCGCCGATTCAAGATTGTCTTTCCGCAGCGCGAGATCAGGCTTCCTGATGAGATGGGTCAGCGCAAACAAGTTGCGCACATCAACGCCATGGGTTTGCCGACGCTCACCCTGGCCAACTTCAATGCCGAGCTGCAGCAGTCTGATCTTAACGATGACGAGACGTTCCAGCAGAGAGCGGAGCAGAGCAAGCAGGACTTCAAGGCGCGCCGTTCGTTTCGGGACTAGAGATAGACTGTCTAAATCTTGGGGTAAGAAGATCATTCAGAACTTGAATGTCGTTACGCTCAATTGCTGTGGGATGGCTCTTGATGCGTTCAGTGGGTTTCTAGAAAGTATATCAGAGGAGTGCGAGTGGGACGTACTACTCTTGCAGGAGGTCTTTGCGGTCTCGACGAATTTACCGAATTCAATTCAAGGACATTTCGTCATAACTTCTTCAGGCACTCTACAGATCCGTGGATGTGCTATTGTATTTCATCGGCGTCACCTTCATTGTGTTCACAAAGCTCCAGAACCTATACATCCTCGTGCGACGGTGGCGAGGGCCACCATCAAGGACACATCGTTTCTCTTTGTCTCTACTTATCTTCCTCAACCTACTTCTGAAGAGTGCTACTATGACACCTCCAACCTCATCTTTGGCTACATCTCGACACATCATATGCCTGGTGATACTCTCATCTTGGGTGCTGACTTTAACGCTGAGCTTGGCCCTACAGAATTTCACGAGGAGGATCAGTATCTCGGGGACTTCTCGGGTGGCACGCGATATGAACGTGGAGAGTGGCTTCTCTTATTAGCAATGCAGCACGGGCTGGCTTTCTCTCACACCTTTTGCCCTCGGGGAGGTGTACCTACCAGGTATGCGTTTGGATCGGACCAGACCTTGTACCACGGCTCTTTCATTGATGGCTTTATGGTTTCCAAAGCATGTCGGGCAAGAGTAAGGCTGACTAAAGTTCTGGACACTGCTGCGACGATCACGGACCACCGCATGCTCATCACGCAGTACGAATGTCAACACGAACGCGTTTGGCGAGAGAAGAAACTTCTCGGATGGCGAGTTCAGCAACCTGAAGAGTATATTTCAGGGATGGCTTCTTCACTCACCTCGGATATGACGCTGGAGGACTTCTCGAGAACCATTGGGAAGGCTGCAGTCAACACTGGGAAGAGTATGAGTGCTCGGGCTGCTGCGCGTCAGGATCGTGTACTTCTTCATGCTCTGGAGGCGGCTTGGCGACAGGCCCCCACTCAGGCTGAGAAGATTGCATGCGCTCGTAAAGTATGGGCTGAGAGACGACGGCTGCGCGACCTTAAGCATCACGCGGCGTCTCAGGCTGTTCTAAGCAACTTGCGAGCCGGGGGTCGGGGCAAGAAGGCCTCTGGCACCTCAGGCAGACTGGCCCTGAGGGATCCTGAAAAAGGAGACCGGCCCATCACGAACCCGTCGGAGATTGTCGATGTTGGTCAGAAGTATTATAGCAAGCAGTTCTCTGAATCTCGCCCCAACCTCCTTAACATTCCCTCCTGGATCTATGGCAAGTTCAAGATAGTCAATACTTTCAACATATCTCACCTCCTAAAGTGTACTATGCTACTTAAGCCTCGTAAGTCGTGCTGCTCTGAAGATATGGTTGTTGCCGAAATGCTGCAGGCCATTGCCATGCAAGGTACCGCCGCCCCCTCAGCTATGCCAAAAACTATTGACTTCGGGATATGGGTCCTGGGGCTTATGGGAGAGCCTGGGTCGGACAGTTTGATGGGGCTCGGCGTGATGAGGACAATGTTGGATGTTCACGTCGGCTTTCTCCTGGGAGCTCTTCGATTGATGCTGAATGGCATGGGTTACTTTTCCTCCTGGAGATCGCTCTTGGGTATCGGAACGAGGATGTTCAATCTGATTTCGCTATCGAAGGTGATTGTGACCCAGTCGTTCACCAGCTTGCGGGACTATGGTCTGTCTTAGATAGTCGTACGTGGGCTTATCGATCATCGGCTCTTGCTCTCATCGCTCGGCTGGGAAGGGTTCGCATCCGTCATGTCCGTCGCTGTTTCAACAAGGTTGCAGACTCTCTGGCAAATGAAGCTATTGACCACTACGATCTATGTAGCCCCCTTCACACTTGGCTTACAACACTCTTGCACTCGATGCTGCCCTTGTCTCTTGGAGCGCGCAGGGAACGAAGAAGTTCGTGACGCCCCTCTGTCAATTAGTTTACCGTCGAAGGGTACGCAAGTGGAGAACCCATTTTGGACACTTAAAGAAGCCATTGATCGTGATCTTCGCGGTGAGTTCTGCACTGTTATGCCTCATCGTCTTCAGCTCGACCATAGACGACGTGTTGCGGAAGAGACAGTGCTTGGCTGATCGCCCCCTACATGTTGCGGCTGCGCGCATGGACACCCAGCGGACTTTGTGTGATTTGGCATTGGTTCCGAAGGAGAGCTTGGTCACTTGGCTCAACTTGCTAAGGCCGCTGGCGATTATGCCAGTGCTTCCAAAGATGGCGGGAGGTGCCCTTCTTGAATCTATCAAGGATAAGATTCATGACATCGCTCCCTGGCAATTTGCTTATCGTGAGGGGCACAGCGTCATGGACATGGTGTTCATTATTCTGATGATGGCTCAGAAGTGTATGCAAGGGGGACTTGGTTTTGTTGCTGGTTCTGCTGATATTCCTAAGGCTTTTGATTTTGTATGCCATCTTCGCGTGCTTCAATCCCTTCAAAGGCGAGGTGTACCAGATTTTATTGCTGCTTGGTTTCTCAGACACTCACGATCTATTCGATATAATGTTCACTTGGTGGGTGACACGGCTACCACGTCACCCATTACTCGCGGCGTTCCTCAAGGGTCTGCTTGGGGGCCGGCTTTCTTCAAAATGGTGCTTACTGATTGTTTACACCCAGTATGGCAGAAGTGTGTGGCAGATCGACTTGGCATTGCGATGCTGGATGTTGCTTGCTGTGGTCATCATTATTCCAAGTGGTGCAGAATGTGCAATTCCAAGTTTATTCCCTTCTTGGTTTGGAGTGACAATCTGTTCATACTGGCCAACAGTACCGTGGATGCGCGTGAGATGCGGAAGAGATGTCGTGCAGCACTTGTTCTTTATGGCTGGGACCTTCCTGAAGATCGTATCACGCTCTTGGTGAACAATACCAAGGAAAAACATCCTTGGTCCAAGATATGGCCTGTTGTTGAGATTATCCCGCATGATAAGGCGATGAAGATCACTGGCATATGGATGAACGCTCGTGGACAATTGGATCAAGATGTTCGCACTAAAACGCTCACGGCTACATCAGCGGTGGGATCTGTTCAGCACTTACTTTCCAGTCCGTCAAGCACTCGTATATCTAGATTTCGCTTGATTCACCGTACGGTATCATCTTCGTGCTTATGGTGTTCACCAGTCTGGAATCTATGCCGACGCGCGGCACTGGCTTTGCGAGCGGCTCAGACAAGACAATTTGCTCGTCACATACGCTGGCCTCGTCTACCAGAAGAAACTGATGAATCGTATTCTCGGTCGGTCAGGACGCAGATTAAGAAAATCAAGATTGCTGAGCACATCCAGGACCTAGATGTAACAGTATGGCGTCGTCTTCATAGGCATGCTGGCCATATCGCACGTAGAGCTCATCATAATCCTGATTCTATTCTGGGTTATGTTCTGAACTGGAATTCTCACCAACACGCTGTAACTGAACAAAGAGAAGGTGGAAAAAAAACAAGGTTTTCAGAAGTTTTCGTGACAGTGTGTCTGGGAATACCAATTGACTAGATTCTATTATCATCGAGGTATTCACTGGATGGAATTGGCTCTAGATAGATATGCGTGGAAGGCGTATGAGGAGGAGTGCATCCTTTGGCGGCTGGGGGAATCTAAAGATCGCGCTAGTGTTTGAGGCTTACCTACAGCTTCACCGAGCAGAACCGAGGTTGCATTTGAGAGGCGTTTTGTTCCTCACCTACAGCTTCGCTAATCAGAACCGAGGTTGCATGTGAGAGGCGTTTTGTTCCTCACCTACAGCTTCACAGAGCAGAACCGAGGTTGCATTTGAGAGGCGTTTTGTTCCTCACCTACAGCTTCACAGTGCAGAACCGAGGTTTCATTTGAGAGGCGTGTTGTTCCTCACCTACAGCTTCACAGCGCAGAACCGAGGTCGCATTTGATAGGCGTTTTGTTCCTCATCTACAGCCGCACAGAGCAGAACCGTGGTTGCATTTGAGAGGCGTTTTGTTCCTCACCTTCAGCTTCACATAGCAGAACCGAGGTTGCATTTGAGAGGCGTTTTGTTCCTCATCTACAGCCGCCACAGAGCAGAACCGAGGAGGAGTACATTTATGGAGATTGGGAGAATCCAAGAATCGTGCTAGCGTATGTGATATCTTCTCGAACGAGGTTTACTTTGTCGTCGTCTTTGCCTGAGTTCCTGCCCTCTCGCTCCGCTGCTGCGTTTAGAATAGTATGTCATGCTGGATGGCCCCCATCTCTTATAGCATGCCACCACCACCACCTCCTCCTCCTCATCCTCCTCCTCATCGTGTGGCCGAGTCGATATTGCGGCGTGTGCTTCTCTGAATTCTCGAACCTCTCCGCGGTGATCTCCCGCGGTAGTCAGGTCCGCGGGCCTCTGGCGATTTTTTGTGTTAATTCGTTACGCCGCAGTGTCTCACTCATCTCCTTCCCTCACCCCAATTCTCCCCTTCCCCTGGCCCTTATCCCCGCTTTCCTCCCCCATCCCCCGTTCCCCCGCCCCCATCCCTGCCCCCGTCCGCCCTTATCCCGTGTTTTGTTTTAGCCCTCCTCCCTCATCCCTCTCTCTCATCCCCGCCCTCCATCCCCTGCCTTTCCCTCATCCCCGCACCCCATCCACAACTCATTCCCCGTTCCCGTCCCCCCACCTCCCCCCCTCCTCCTTCTCCCCCCCCAGCGCCCGCGCCAGGACGCCGTCAAACAAGTGCACGCGGAGCGGGAGTTGGAGGCTCCCCCGCTAATGCGCGCGGCCGCCCTGGAGGGCCTTTTTGGGGGAACGCGTGGGCCGTTTTGGGCCTTTTTGCGGTCTCTTGAGCCCCCCATTGATTGTCCATTGGGCCGCATTTGGGGCCTCGTGGGGGCCTCGTGGGCCGTCTCGGTGCGACCATGGGGGCACATCGGGTCGTCCTAGGCGTTTTGAGGCTCCAGCGCGCGGGTACTTCGAAATCTGTTGAGAACCTGATGGGGGCCGTCTTCCGGATCTTCGTGGGGCAATCCGTGGGCATCTTTGAGATTTTCCCGGAAAGGGCTGGGTTTTCTTTCAGTAGGTTTAATCACCCCCGAAATTGATTTGAGGTGGGCTGGCGAATTTCTTTTGCGATGCATAACAAGGAAAGGGTGGACCAGCGCATTTGACTCTGAGGATGTCCCGAGCGAAACGCTTGCGTTGCAGAAATTGTTGAGGATGTCTCGAGCGAGACGCTTGTTTTGTGTCATATATTGTCCTCTCCTGGGGACCAGAATTCAGAGGATCTCTCAAGTGAAATGCTTGTTTTCACGTGCCCAGGTCTTGAGGATGTCTCGAGCGACACGCTTGGTTTCACGTGTCCAGGTTGCCAAGGCAGATGTCGAACATGAGGATTTGTTGAGGATGTCTCAAGCGAGACGCTTGTTTTCACGCGTCCAGGTCGCCCAGGCGGATGTCTAGCATGAGGATATGTTGAGGAAGTCTCGATCGAGACGCTTTTTTGCACGTGTCCAGGTTGCCCAGGCGGATGTCTAGCATGAGGATGTGTTGAGAATGTCTCGAGCGAAACGTTTGTTTTCACGTGTCCAGGTCGCCCAGGCACAGCACAGCTTTCGGCACGGTACATCAAGATCGACACAGATTCAGCATTGCAATTTGGCACGTTCCATGGCGCTTCCCGTGGCGAGTCCCCCTGGCACGTCGCGCGGCGCATCTCCTGGCACGTCCCGTGACACGTCCATTGGCACGTTCTGGAGCGCGTCCCCTTGGCACGCCCCGCGGTGCGTCCCCATGGCACGTCCCCTGGCACGTCCTCTGGCGCGTCCCTTGGATTGTTCCGCGGCGCGTCCTCCTGGCATGTTCCCTTGCCAATTGGCTCTGGGGCAGCTACTATGTGCTCAGGCAGCTCGAGCTTAAGATCCAGATAAGTTGGGTCAGGATTCGGTTGTCAATGAGGACTCGATCCACAACGCTAAACAGCACAATCGCTGCATGGCACATCGCAATTTAGCACGGCGCAGCACAGCACAACCTTCGGCACGGTATGTCAAGATCGTTACACTCAGCATTGCATGTACCCGTCGCCCAATCAGATTCCACATTTCTATATTCCTTCCCGGGTTCGTGTGGGTCGATCATGTCCCGGAAAGGGCGTGGGCCCAGGGTTTTTTTTTAGGAGTTCCCCCCCAGAATCGACGGGCGTAGGGCTGGCGGAATTATTGTGCGATAGTTTAGTTTTGAGGATGTCCCTAGCAAATTGGCAAAGCGTTTGTTTTACATTATTTTGTTGAGGATGTCTCCGGCGAGTCGCTTCTGTGTTATTGATTTTTCCTGGGGACAAGAACTCAGAGGATGCCTGTGGTGAAATGCTTGTTTTCACGTGTCCTGGTCTTGAGGATGTCTCGAGCGAGACGCTTGGTTTCACGCGTCCAGGTCGCCCAGGCGGATGTCTAACATATGCATAAAACGGCGCACCGGGCCCGGGGACCGAGAGCCGGAACTTCGATTAGATGTTTGGTCAAACGCTAGGCTCTCCCTGACCCCAAGAGTGCGGGGGCCCGCCTTCTCATGTCCTTGCTCCTGCCTCTGCCTGCTCTCTCCCGCTTCCCCCTCTGGGGCTCTAGCCTTTCTGGGCCAAGCTGGGGGCCGGCCTCAGGTGGTCCAGAGGCCAGGGCGTCCCGGAACGGAGGCCCACTCCGGGAGCCCGCAAGATCCCGGGGCGACCCGGGAGCGCCACGCGCATCCGCCTCATGACGCCGCGCGGGGCGCCTCGCGGCTGGGGGGCGGCTGGCTTGCCGCTGCCGGTCGCGACCAGGGGCACGCGGGGAGGGCGGCGGCGCGCGGCGCCGGGGACCCCCAGCCGCGCGCTGCTGCGGGCCACCACCCTGGTGGCGACGGCGGCGGGCTGGCTCACCTCGCAGACGCTGGGGGACTACGGCCCGTCGTATTACGACGACGCGGACCAGGACCCACTATTGCGGAAGGGGTACCGCGGGAACCCGATGATAGGGGACCCCGGGGACCCAAAGGGGTCAGGGTCAGGCGAGCATGGGTTGCCGCCGGCGGGGGTCAACCCGCCTGGCGTGCTCCATGTGCCGCCGGCCGCTCCGCCCAGGAAGGACGCCACCCTCCCCGAATGGCACTTCACACACTTCCTGGATTGGGGGGTGGGGCTTGGGCTATCTCAGCTGGGAGAACCTGGGGAACCACACCTGGTCCTGGAAGGCCGAAGGGATGGGGGGCTGGGCGCACTCGTTTGAGAACCTCAAAGGCGCCCTCTCGACCCAACAGGATACCGGCTAGCTGCGCTCCGACGGCGGCTGGGTCCTGTGCCTGACCGACAGCTGCGGCGTGCGCCTGTTCGGCGTTGCCTGGCCCATCGTCGGCTGGACCCTCGTCACCCTGTGCTGCACCGGCATCCTTGCTTTGGCGGCGCACAGCCCGCGGACCATCTTCGCGCCGTGCGCCTGGGTGTACTGGGTCATCGGGGCAGCCGCCGGCTTCTGCCGCGCGCGCTGCTGCTGCGCGCGGAAGCCGCCCGGCGAAGCAGAGGTGGATCGTCTCCTGCCGCCGGCGCCGCCACAGCCCATCGCGGTCGTCTGGGCCGGGCCCGCCGCAGGCCCCAACGCGACGACCTCCTTTTACCAGAGGACCGCCCGCGCACGCGGGACCAGCAGGAAGCCCAACGACCTCCTCGTGAAGCTCGACGGACACGTGGCGCGGATCGGACTCGTCTTCGACGAACCGGAACGGGTTGGCAAGAAGGGGCTCTCGGTCCAGTACAACAAGATCAAAGGGGCGAGCAGCAGGGCCCTCAGGCAAAAGCTCGAGCAGGGGAAATGGGCGCACCTGCGCCGCTGCGGGGATTGCCAGCCCCAGGGCGAGAAGGAGCTCCACTGCGTGGAGCACGCGGCCCTCGACTCGGCGGCCATCGTCGACATCGGCGCCCGCGCTCGGCTGACCCCCTGCCGCTTCCGTGTCCTCACGGGGCGGGCCCTCGCCAGCGGAGTCCGCCTATTCGCCACCTACGTGATGTTCTTCTTCTATTTGGCCTGCTTCTGCGGGCGCCGCAGCCGCCGGCGACGCCGCAGCCGTGAATCGGCAGGCGCAGCAGAGCCAGGCGTAGCTCGAGGCGCGGCAGAGCTTCTGGATCAGGAGTCTGAGTCTGAGGTCGATATCGAGGAGCGGCCCTGCGAGGCCGTCAAGGTGGGCGCCCTCATCAAGGGCGCGATGAGGCCCTTGGCCCCAGGTGGGCGACGCAGCCGACACGACCCCCATGACGATGCTCTGGGAGGACGGACAGGCCTCGGACCTGCCCCCACCGTTCGACGGCAAGAACGCCGTGGTCTGTCTTTGCGAGCGCCACAAGCAGGTCTACAAGGCCACCCGGCTCGGTGACAAGTGTTCGATCGTCACCTGCTCCCATCAAGCGGTCGGGCCCTCGGCAGGAGTACTTCTTTGCTTCGTCCATCTTGGCGGGGAAGCCGGACGTGCTGCAGTCCGCTCAGCTACGGCAGCCGCCCACCCCACCGGGGTGTTCGCCGGCATTCGACGGCGAGTGGCACGGGGTGGGGAGAGCCCGGGAGCTAGCGCCCCAGCGGCCCTGGCGAGCAGCGGGCACACCGCACCTCCCAGGCGGGGCTCGCCAGCCCCAGCAGGGAGCCTCCAGTCGGTGCGCTTCGAATCGCCAACCGTGCCCGTGCCGGCTCCGAGCCCCGAGGACGTCGACTTGGACGAGTTGGACTCAGGGGGCCCGAAGCACCTCCCCATCAGGGCTCGGGTGAATTGGTCGAGCGGCGCCCAGTGGATCATCTTCCTCTGCCAGCGCCAGGGAGGCAACGACAGCGAGGGGGAACCGCTTCGGACTGGCGCCGCTCGCGGCCCCGAGGGGGCCTGCCTCGACTTCACTCTGAAGTTAGACGAGGCGCAGGCCCACCCCACCCTCAACGCGGCAGGCAGGTTGCCGCGGGGCTGTCTGGAGGAGCTCCTGTGCCATCCACCGGTGGGCGCCCGCGAGATGGGGATCGCCGCGGCGGGACCTGCGCTGCCCAGGCTCGCGCGGGAGAAGCTGCAGCCCTGGCCAGGCAAGCCTGCCGGGGGCAAGCACCGATCGCTCAAGGCCTGGCAGTGGCAACTCATCCGCACGCGGGGCAGCACCATCGTCAACCGGCATCCGGCGGGGTCTGCCGCGGCCGCGGGGGATTTGCCGAGCGGAGAGAAGAACGAGCTCGACGCCACGATGAAGGGCCTGGACGACTACTGGAAGCGGCTGGACCGCAGCGGGCCGCCGCGGGCCCCGTCCAGAGGGAGCCAGGGCAGCGGCGGCGGGAGGTCTCCATCCAGGGCGCCCCCGCGCTCAGACCGGCGCCCGTCCCGCGAGAGGGGCGACAGGCACCTGAAGGCCCTGCGTAGTTAGTAACAGTTAGCGGAACTTCTAATTGTTATTAACGGAGTTATAACTAGTTAGGTTTGGCCAGTTTGAAGCTGTTTTTTTAAATGTTTATGTTATGTTTTTGCATCTCATGTAGTTGGAAATTGGGGCATCATGATTGGGCGCTTCGTCGATTTGGATCTGCTCAGGGGCCTTCAGATGTTTTATCGTCCTGGGGCAAACGCGACGGTCCGCAGCGCATCATGTTAGCAACATCGCGATTTGTATTCTACTGGCCAAATGCACGTGATGTCGTTCTCTATTTTCCTGTAAATCACAGGAGCTTTCAGCGAGGTCAGAGGCATCAGAACAGGGTCTGTATCATCTAAAA